TTTCCAACCTCTCAAAACCTAACTTATAACTGTAGCAACCAAGACTTTTCCTTGTACTGAATCAGATGACTACCATGTTTCAAAGCAACTAACTCAAATAGTAAAATTTGCTAGATGCTTTCTTGAATTTTCGAAAGTAAATTTCTATAATCAGAGTTCGTTGTTTCGGTTGAGCAATATAGTGATCGGCGTAGGACTTGAACACAAAATTTTATGGAGAGTGGAAGGAGAAAGTCTCTATTTACATAACATAAAGGATGGGAATGAAGAGCGCGCGCCCAGCCCATGCATCCCAAGCAGAGAGCTGACCTAGAATGCATGCGGGATTCATAGCAAAAGATGCCTCAAAGCATACGACCACAAAAAAGATGAGGGCAGAATTCTCGGAGCGAGAGGGAGAACGAGGGTTCCTATCTGCTTCGTCCTTTTTTTCTTTTATGTTTTTATCGAAATGAAATTGAAACTCTTTTGTTATGCTCGCGTAGGGGCGCTCACATTTTTTGGCTCTCTTCGTTCCACTACTCTTGATTGGCGCATGGTTGGTGATACCACGAAGCTTCATGCCTTAACTTTCCACTACGTCTTCCAAATAACTGTCACTTACCTTTCAATCTTTCTCAGATTATCTAGATAAGGATTAGGAAATAAAACTTTGAAAATTGTGATTTTTGAGCTACTTAGTCATATATATGAAACCTAGAAGTCTAACTTGTGCAGTATGTGTTTGGATATTATGCAAAATAGTAAGTTGGTGACAACTTAGATTTGTGTAATCTATATGCAACAAAATAATTTCACATCAAATTTATGTACTCTACATTTTTAAGTTTGTGTAGTATGTCTTAACTTTTATGATAATAAATTTAATGTTAAAATTGACTCACTTAATTGGGTATTATCACGTGTCAATCCAAACATATAATTTGAGTGGATAAAGACACTTATTACCATCCATATAAAGTATTATAATGTTCAACATGAACATAACTCAATGTTTAACACATCTACCCCTCCCTAAAGATGTTATCGAGGCAGAACGTGATGGGTACGAGGACGACTTCCCTATCTTCGCCCCCATTTCATTCCCCATACGTGAAGGCTCCAATAAAATTTCACGGAGATTAGGATAAGGACTCCTGAGAAGTATTCCTCGTAATTTATTTATTTATTTATTTTTGTATAGAAAAACTCATTTAACAATCCATTTTATGCCTTAATTTATAGATGACTTAATTGAAGAAGAGGGGTATAATTCAAACATGATCTACATTGATGCTGTAAGCATTATATTTGGTTTTCATTCATATGTATATAAATGAAAATTTATAGATACCTTTTACTAAACTATGTCAATATTTAAAATTTACTTCATGGTAAAAGAATAATATCAGCCACTCAATACTATTTTCGAAATTTTTGAAATTTTACTATTTATACCATTTCAACATTTTACTTTTCATGAAAATTTGTCCCAAAAAATAATTAAAAACTAGAAAATTGCATTGAGAGTGAGTTCATCCAAATCATCCATTTCTTGGGCTCTTACGGGCCGAGGAAATTTTGGGCTTTCTTCGACTCTATAGTCCAGCCCACATCATACCAGCGTGAACTTTCTAGCCCGCAACATTAAAAGACGTGATTTAAAAAATTAACAATAATTTAGAATATCAAATTTATGTTTATATTTATTTTCCTTGTGCTTTTTAACCTTTATTTTAGTCCTTCGACGTTTAATAGTTTATTTAGTTTCTAAACTTAAAAGTCTTCGTTTACTTAAAAAAAAAAGAATTATAATAAAATCAATCAAAATAAAACTTCTTTGATGATGTTTACTATAAATTTTATGAAATCAAAATCAGAAGTCTAATGTCTAAAATCGGAATATGAATAAAGTATATAGCCAAGTATATCTATATCTTAATATTAACAAAAAAAATAAAAATAACTAAAAATAATTAATTATTAGAACAAACATCATTAATATAAAATATTATTAAATTTTATTGTTCTAATGTTTAATAGTAATGATTTTTTTAACAAACTTACTAATATTAATCAATAATAACAAAGTAAGATTAAAAATTGATAAATTGAATCGAAAGTTGTGATATTTTGTAATAAAATCACATGAATTAAGAAAATATTGGTATAATTTTTTTATTAGATGAAAAAATATTAGTAATATAAATAAACAAAAAAGAAAAGACTAAAATTGTAAACAATTAATAAAAGGCTTATGGGTCCCACTCATTAATAGAGGATAGAAAAATGGTAAAAGTTATCAAGTAATTTTTGAAAAGATGTTGGACTCACGGAAAAATGAAATAGAAATGTGATTGATTACGTTTATGAGATTTTCTAAAAAAAAATGTTGCTAGAAGTGAACGAGATTACCCTTTTAGAAGAGTAATTGATTTCATACTTACAATTTAGTAAATATCATGAAAATTTTCATTCTTATTCCTTGATTTCTGTTCTCTTGAAATAAATGAGGCTTCAAAATTTTTCAATTTGTTTAAAAAATTAATCTTTTTGATTAATTTCTTAAACTTTGAATTGTGATTTTAAACAATGACATAAATATGTTGACTGATTTAATATATAGGGATAGATAAAATAGAAAAAAGAAGTGGATAGCTAGATACTAAAGTGATGAGTGCAACATATTTTAATTTTTAAGCAATATAACAAATCTATTTAAATATTACAAAATGTGAAAACTAAATAGAAAGTTTCAACATTACAAAATTTAAAACCTAAATAGAGTTTTTTTCTTCTTCTTATTTTGTCATAAATTAGATGATTTGTTTGGATAAGTTTTGTTTTGTTTTTTTTTTTCCACTAGTTTGGATAAGTTTTATTATTAAATATTACCAAGCGAAATAAGGCAGGTTAATAAAGAATTTTTTTCTACACAAATAAATTACCAATGTAAGAATAGCTTATTTAGTTAAGACTTAAATTATAAAATAATACCCTTTGCCCATGTTTAAAATATTATTTCAAGAGTTTCAATAGTATTTTTATTTTTCATAAAATTTCAAAAAATACCTATTAAACAGACATCGTTGTTAATATTTTAAATAAAAAAATTAATGTGACAGAATTTAAAATCACGTGATGTTTGGAAAAAAAAAGGGTAAATATTGAGGAAACTATTAATTTAAAAAAATAAAGATAAAATTAGACAGACAATAAAGAAGCAAACTCTATCAACCTTAGGGAGAAAATTTAAAATTTATAAAATTGAGACGTTAACTCATGTAGCTCTAGATTATTTCGTATCAATTTTTCGTTTCAAATATTAACAACCATTTGTTAAAAACAAATCACAAATGGGAATTTCCTTTTTTTCTTTTTCTTTTTTGTAATTTGGCGTTTATTTTAATTCTCAAAAAGGAAAAGATGCCTTATTTATTTGGGTGTGAAATATTCAACAAGATCGACAAAATGAAAATGGAATCGATCGTCGTTGTCAACCCTGCAGGAAGAACGTAATTCGACGCTGGTCTACGGGTTTCACAGTTACAGACTTTCATAGCTCCACTGAAAACCTTGGAGATTGGTAACAATGGAGAGCAGTGCTCAGAGGCGTATAAATTTGATTCGCCGGCACCTTCTTCCGCCGCCATGTGAGTTCAACGACGCTCTTAATCTGGTGAGCGCATCTCTTCACTCTTACAGTCTCATTTCGTTCTCTCTTCAAGGTGCTTTCTAGCGGCGACACGCTTTCTGCGATCAATGGTGATATCGTAAGTGTATATATAATTTTAGGCGTTGACAAATGGTGGGAGCGAATTGCAAATTGGGGAATCAGAGCCTGTGGTTATTGGAGGTATGGTGCTGGACATTCATGCCATACCCTCCATCGCCGCCGTTCCGAGGTCAACTACTCCCGGCAAGGTAATTTACTAATTTTCTCTTGAAATATGAGAGGTTCATCGTGATCGCGATATGAATTTTATTTAAGGGCGAATTGTCACTGAGGTTGATCATCATTATCAGGTACTAGATTGATTGTTTACCTATTGGAGATATAGTACCTCCATGGTCACCTCTTAAGCTATGATCCTTGAAGTTTTTTAATGTTAAATGTTGTGGAATAATAGGGTTCTTTTAGAAGAAGCTGATCATATTCCTAATAGTTATATAAATCATTATAACTGTAAATTGCCCCTATGATTTGTTCAAGTAGGCGAGTTATCCAGTGCTTGTTTAGTTTCACTGCAAAATGTGGCATGGCAAACACATTCAAATATGAAAAATATTATTATCGAACAAGCTCAATTTTATATGAAAGTAAAAAATATTAGAAATGAATAGGTGTCATGTTTCTATTGTTGTCTTTCTTAGTGATTATTATCTTTAAAATTGTTTATGATATTGTATGTTAATTGATAACCATTTTAGCTTCAGTATATAATCTGAAATTACACTTGAAAATTATGTTTGAAAGATTTAGAGAAAATACTCGTCACTATGATATAGTTGAAATTATAACAACGACATGATTTGAATCTTCAAGGAATATGTTCCTATTGTGTATTTAACTTATTGCTTATGTTTATATTCAAGGATGGAAATAAATTTGACTGAACTAATTGTGTGGACTATGGAATATTCCTGGATTACCAAATCCTTGGCAATATATAATTCGTCCTAAATTCAACTATGATATGGCTAATAAGTTATTCTTAAATTTCATAGTTTTGCTTGTATGATAATGATAGAACTACCTTAAATCCTAATTTCATTGTGTTGGTATCTGGTCTTTTGTGGTTTGGCCAGTATCTCAATATTTTTCAATAGGCTGAACTCGTTGGTATCTGTAGCATCACAGTGACAATATTAGCGTAGAGAATCCATTTCTTAGTTTTCTATATTCGAAATTTTACCTTTGAGAATGTGGTGTTTTAGATCAACTATGTATTAGGAGGCGTAGCACGGAATGTTGCTGAATGCATGTCAAAGTTCGGGACCAAACTTTTCCTGATTAGTGTTGTGGGACATGACATGGCAGGTTATTTTATGATCTTTTACACTTTTGTTTCTACACAACTACAATATGGAATGAGGATTTAAGTTTTTTTTTTTCCACAAAGAGAACATACATTTCTTTTCTCTTGAGTTTTTTTCCCTCCGAAAATAGGGAATTTGTTGCTTGAGAATTGGAGGTTGGCAGGGCTATCAACAGAAGGTAAACCTATCTATCTATACTGGTAATGGCATATGGCATTTCATATTTTGTTGTTCTGATGGATATTTTCTTCTATTCTGGAGTTCACCATCCGTGATATTAACCTGCTGGCACTGTTTGTTGCTCCAACTTCAATGTATATGATTTTCTGGACCATGTGCTTGATTCAAGAAGAATGTGTAACCTTAAATAAAAATCTACATCGGATTTATCTTAAGTATAATGGTTATTATCTTACTTTTGATTGACTTGTTTTAGAATGTTCCTGTACCAATCACTGCAACAAATTTTATAGTAATTGTACCTTTGACTTAGAGTCATTCAGATCAGATGTCACAATTTGGTTGTTCCTCTTGAGTAATTCAGTTAGAAGAATATATCTGGTAAAACTTAATGATAGTGACGTGGTGCAAGTTCCATAAACAGCATCTTGATCAATCTGCTTGAAATCTTTTTTCTGAAATGAACTCTTGTATAGAATATTGCCAGCTGCTGGGTAGAGATACAATCAATTTCCCTTGCTGATTTCTTTATCTTTGATGAAAGTTCTTGAAGTAAAAACAAAATCATTAAACTAGGTCCATGGTAACCCTTTCGTTTTTGGTTTTTTGTTTTTAAAATTAACCTACAAATAGTAATCCCACCCATGTGTTTATTTTTTTTGTTATCTACTTTTTAAAAACTTTTGCAAAATCTAAGCTACTTTTTTGAGGAAAAAAAAGTTAACTTTTTTCCCCTTGAAATTTAGCTAAAAATTCATATGTATTTTCAAGGAATATGGGAAACATACTAAGAAATGGTAAGAAATCAAACAATTTTTAAAAACAAAATAAAAAATAAAATGTTTATCAAACGAGACCTTAATTAAACTTAGGTGCTGTTATATTCAATGTTCAGTGGACTTCATATTTTGAATAGGCATTCGGAAGCACCAAGATGTTAGCACTGCTGTTGTGTGTGGCATAGTTGATGTCAATGGAGAATTGGCAGCTGCGGTGGCAAGTGTGGAAGCTATTGTAAGTGGATCTTTATAAATAAATTTATATTATTCCGGGTATTTAGTATTGTGATTCTTCTATATGATTAAAGAAGTACCACGAGGAACCTGAAACTAGCCTTGCACAGGAAAAATTTCTCACACCTGATTGGATTGACCGATTCAAGTGCAATATTCGTGCTGCTCCAATGCTGATGGTTGATGCAAATCTCAATCCTCTTGCTCTAGAAGTTTCTTGCCGAAGTACTACTTTTTCATAGTAGCTGCAGCTTCTTCTACTTTCTCTGTCGTTCCTTGTTAATATGATCTCTGTATATTTTTTTCCTGCGTTTTTTCTTAGTTTCTGCAGAAAATAATACTCCAGTGTGGTTTGAGCCTGTGTCAGTTGCAAAATCAAGAAGGATTGCTTCGGTTGTCAAGTATGTGAGTTCACATCTCCTCCATGCTGGTCTCTTCTCTTCAATTTTTTTTGCGTTTTCTTACTTGTGAGCAAATATTTGTTCCTCCTTTCTTTCCTTTCTGAGGTGTTTCTATTTCCATTTTTGTAAGTTATGGAAATGTTAATGGAACAATTCTTAGGTGTTTTTGAATTGGAATTGCAACCAGACTCTGACTTGCCTGCTCATGTTTGGAGATCTATTGAACATAGTTCAGTTCGTATAACAGTCGATAAAAAATGGGAAAAGATAGAATAAAAAGTTCAAAAATCAGGTACATGTAGATTGATCAGGATTACAGCTTTTATATGTGTTTCCTTTTCCCTTATTATTATGATGGAAAAAAAAACTGAAAATAGGATCTGCTGGTAAATATCATATATACGTTGGGTCAATAGTTCCTTTGTGTTGGTGGATTGATAGGTGAAGGTCTATCTGCCCTTCCTCTGTATCTGGGCTACAACTTCACATCCTATTTGGGTGATGTTTGAGTTTTCTATGCATCTTGCTACAAAATTTACATGTCATGTTGTGTTTTCGTGATATAGAGAATTAGCACTTGATCTCATTCTTACGTTTCATATTCAAAAAGTTCTAATTGACAACCATCTGATTCTCTGCTCTCTTTAATCTTATATAGCTCTTGTCATTTTTGTAGATAACTTTTGCTTCACCTAATGAAGATGAACTTATCGCCATGGCTAATGCATTATCTGGTCGAGATTTGTTTTCTCCTATCAAACGGGATAGTAGCATTACTACATGCTCAATCGAATTGCTTTTCCAACTGCTGAAATCCGCTGTATGGGTTTTGCTCGAGAAAGGCATCAAGATAGTCATTCTGACCGTTGGTTCTCATGGGGTGTTCGTATGTTTTAAAGGAGGACCAAGCTTCATGAAATTTTCTTCAGAAGGAATCAAAAAGAATAGATCCTGCAGCCAACTGTTTAGAACTATAAATTCAAGTTGTCCACCAAATACGTTTTCTGTTTCTCCTGAAAAAGAAAAAAGCTCTGCTCTTTTTGCAATACATTTCCCTGCCCTTTCTGCATCTGTAGTGAGGCTCACAGGCGCCGGAGATTGCTTGGTTGGAGGCATGCTTGCTTCTATTTGTGCAGGCTTAGATATCTTCCAAAGTACAGCCATTGGTATTGCAGCTTCCAAGGCTGCTGTCGAGACGGAAAATAATGTACCTCATGCACTTCATTCGGCTAAAATTGCAGGTACTAGTGTCACTTCTTATTGATGATTTTATTTTAGTTATTCAGTTCGGTTTAGTTTAGTTTAAGATACTTTGATAACGATTATTTACTAACCATTTCTAAATATGTTATAGCGTTATCAAATGGATCTTTAGCTCTAAATTCGTTGACAATATTTTACTTGATGACGTAAAGAACTTATCTGAGAGTTCAAAAATTTTTGCACTCTAAACAAAAATGAAAATAGATTGAATCTCCTGGACAAGAATCTTAGAATAAATAGAAAGACCTTTAAACTAAGAAAAGAAAGAGCACGATGGAAATTTGGGAATTGTGGATTGGAAGAAACATGTACATCAAACTAGAAGATTTCATGTTTTGCTTTTAGGAATGGATTGAAGTGTTTACTTTGTCTGAGTTTTTATTTTTTTATTTTTAATACTACTCCATGACCCGAAGCTTTGATTTATTTTGAGAAGTTATTAATGTCTTAACCAATTAACGGATTGAGCTCTGTTCACGAGGGTAGTATATTCGGTAATATAACATTGTTTTCTGTTTTCCAATTAATTTTAATATTCTCTCCCCACCATTTCTTTTGCAGATGATGCTAAGTCAGTGTACACAGCAGGCAGAATTGTGTTCCATGAACCCATGTACATGTCACATTTGGAATGAGCAAAATTGAAGTTGGAAAATCAGAGTCATACGATTTATGTTAAAACATGAAATTGCAAGTGTTTCTCTTCAATTGAGAATTGTGGCTGAAATTGTTTTTCCAATGAGTATGAATAATTTGATTAGAATGAGTTCAGGATCTTTTTTGAAAAAAGAAAAAAAAATAAGAAAACAAATTAAATGTTTTATAATCATTTTAAGTGTTCTTTAAATCTATTTTATTATTTTCAAATTACTTTTGGTTATCAAAAATTTTAATCAAACGCTACTATTTTTTTTTTTTTTTGAAAAGAAAAACTTCTATTTACAAGTACAACATGTAAGATTTAGGGATGAGGGATCGAACTCACAACTTTTTGATTAGAGATATATGTCAATTATCGTTGCACATTTAAAAGACATTTCAAAAACAAATGATTTGATCTCATATGGAATAAAATCTTATTCAAATGCTTGATCTATGAATTTATTTCTTATTCAAATGCTTGATCTATAAAATTTAATAAATTCGTAAACTTATTTTTGTTCTATACTGTTCTAAGTTTATTTTCTTAAAAACTAAGATCATTAACTAATATAGTCACTTCACAATAAAATTTTGGTTAAACTTGACCTTATTTATAATTTCATTTTTCACTTTATATTATTTGCTAATTCATGCTAATTTAGGAAAATTAATCCAATAATATCAATGACCTGAGCTAAATAAGTATAATTCAATGTTTAGAAATGCAATTAGAACTTTTTATGTTAAGTTAATTTTTAGATTTATGTATAATGCATTGTTTTTAGATTTATGTATACTGCGTTAAATTTAGAAAGTTTTTGAAATTTTATATTTGAAATTTATAAAATATATAACAAGTTTTTGATTTTTCAATTTTATATTTTAATAGGTTTCTAAATTTTAAATCATGCCTAGTAAATTATAGACTTATTAGACACAAAATTAAAAGTTTAAGAATTTATAATCATCACGGGTAGTTCATAGGTTCAAATAGGGATGGTAACGGGGCGGGTGGGGCCGGGGAGCCATCCCATCCCGTTAGGAATTTTTCCCCATCCCCGCCCCCGTCCTCGAAATTTTGGGGCGGGGACGGAACGGGGATTCCCCATTATAAGTATATCTTTTTAATTTTTTTAATTAATTTTTGTTATTAATATAAAAAGGAAACAAAAAGTTGTTAAATGGGTATTAGCTTTGAGTTTAAAAAAAATTAAAAAGTATTTATAAAATTAATATATTATAAAAAAATTGAAAAAGTAATAAAAAAGTAAACGGGGCGAGGTCGGAGACGGGAGATGGGGTGGGGGGATCGATCCCCGTCCCCACCGGGACCCTGATTTGGATCCCCGGTTTAACCCCGTCTTCGATCAAACTGGAGAATCCCGGATCCGATCGAGTGGGTACTCGCGGGGATCAGATCCCGTAGGTATTTTTACCATCTCTAGATTCAAATGAGCTATAATAAATTGCTAGGGAATAAGTTAAAATTTCATTTTTCTTAGTACAGCAGAAAGAATGAGGAAACGGAGTTCAAATTTCATATTATATAAATTAATTTCTCTATATTTTCTGATWACAAGTCTTTTATTTGGGCGGTAATCTTGTGGCTTAGGGCTGTGACACGTAGAGTATTATTTGCTTCAGGCTCTTCTTACAAAATTTCAACCCTCTTGTCCTATGGTGTGAGTGTGACAATATTGGTGCGATTCACCATTTTCTTTCTTGTTTTTTTCGGTTGAGTACATCACCACGTTGGTGGAGATATACCAAGTTCACCAGTTTCTTTAAGATAGGTTGAGCTAGGCTCGCGATTCACTGCCATTTTTTTGTTTTCTATTTAGTACAATAGTATGTGGGGGCTTTACTCTGATTCAACCAACTGTATGCCCTTTAAGTTAAACAGTATATGCATATGTTAATGAAGCATCTGAAACATGGGTTTCTATGTCACATCCAAGCGATCAAATCTGGGTTTACGCCCACCATTTTCACATCGAACCAACTCATAAGCTTATACGCGAAACATGGTCATCTTAGAAATGCCCAGAAACTTTTCGACGAAATGCCTGAACGAAATGTCTTCTCATGGAATGCGATAATAGCAGCGTATATCAAGTCTCACAACTTGGGACAGGCGCGGGCATTATTTGACTCGGCGTCCTACAGAGATTTGGTTACTTACAACTCCATGTTATCTGGTTATGTTAGCTCTGATGGGTATGAAGCTCACGCACTTGAGCTTTTTGTGGAAATGCAAACGGCCCCTGATATGATTAGAATCGATGAGTTTACTCTGACAATCATGCTTAATCTAACTGCTAAATTATGTGTGGTTTCTTATGGAAAGCAGTTGCATTCCTTTATGTTGAAGACTGCTAACGATTTGAGTGTGTTTGCTGCTAGTTCCCTGATTGATATGTACTCTAAGTGCGGATGTTTTAAAGAAGCCTATAGAGTTTATGATGGATGTGGTGATGTGGTTGATTTGGTCTCTAGAAATGCCATGGTGGCAGCTTGTTGTAGAGAAGGGGAGATAGATGTGGCTGTGGATCTTTTCTGGAAGGAACTGGAGCGAAATGACAATGTGGCATGGAACACGATGATTTCGGGTTTTGTTCAAAATGGTTACGAGGAAGAGTCGTTGAAATTATTTGTTCGTATGGGAGATGAAAATGTTAGATGGAACGAACATACTTTTGCCAGTGTTTTAAGTGCTTGTTCTAATCTGAGGAGCCTGAAGCTTGGGAAGGAGGTCCATGCTTATGTTTTGAAGAACGGGCTGATTGTCAATCCATTCATTGGCAGTGGTCTTGTTGATGTTTACTGCAAGTGCAATAACATGGAGTATGCTGAGTCTGTTAATGCAAATATGGCACGGAACGCATACTCGATCACTTCAATGATTGTTGGCTATTCATCTCAAGGTAACATGGCAGAAGCCAGAAAGCTTTTTGATTCCTTGGATGAAAAGAATACTGTTGTGTGGACTGCTTTGTTTTCTGGGTATGTTAAATTGCAGCAGTGTGAAGCAGTTTTTGAACTTTTGAGTGAATACAGAGAGGAGGCAGCAGTACCTGATGTGCTAATTCTTGTCAGTATAATAGGTGCTTGTGCTATACAAGCTGCTCTGGCTCCCGGGAAGCAGATACATGGTTACATCCTCCGGGCGGGAGTTGAATTGGATAAGAAACTGGCCAGTTCATTGGTTGATATGTACTCAAAATGTGGAAGCATCATCTTTGCAGCAAGGATTTTTAGACAAGTTACTGACAAGGATTCCATTCTTTACAACATTATGATAGCTGGCTATGCTCACCATGGGTGGGAAAATAAAGCAGTCCTGCTTTTCAAGGAAATGATGGAAAATGGTCTAAAACCAGATGCAGTCACTTTTGTTGCGCTACTTTCTGCATGTCGACACTGTGGTTTGGTAGAACTAGGTGACCATTTCTTTGAATCTATGACTAACGAACACAACATGAGTCCCGAAATCGATCATTACGCTTGTATGATTGATTTGTACGGAAGGGCTAATCAACTAGAGAAGGCTTTGGCATTCATGAAAAGTATTCCCATAGAGTTAGATGCTGTCATTTGGGGAGCATTTCTGAATGCTTGTAGGATAAATGGGAATACTGAACTTGCAAAAGAAGCAGAAGATGAGCTCTTGATAATCGAAGGAGAAAACGGAGCTCGATATGTGCAGTTAGCCAATGTCTATGCTGCAGAAGGAAACTGGGAGGAGATGGGAAGAATAAGGAAGAAGATGAAAGGGAAGGAGGTTAAGAAGAATGCTGGTTGCAGTTGGGTTTTTGTGGAAAATAAGTTTCATGTATTCATGTCTAGTGATAGATGCCACTCTGCAAATGAGGCTATATATTCAACCTTAGCCTCCTTGACTGATGAGCTACTTGACATAGAGGAAGCATTTTGTTAATGTCAAACTTTAATTATCAGTTTGCCAAATCTGAAAGGATCTAAGATTTCGAGCATGTTCGGACCGTCGACATTTTCTAAACCCACTTCTATATCATTGTCAAATATTATTATTTCAAAGTGATTTTGGCAACGACAGAAGTGATTTTGGTATGGCTAAAATCACTTCCAAAAACACGTTTTATATATAAGTAATTTTAGGAAATGGCCAATCACTCTCAAACATGTGGTTTGAAACTTTTATGTTTCAGATTTGTACAGGAATACTAGACTTACCATGAAGGATGTGGCAACCACAACTTTTCAGAAGCTGTACAATCACTACATTAGTTCATTTCATGGTTTGGAACATTTCTCTATATAATCATTTTACGTGATTGTTCTCCAGTTAGTCATTTTAACAACTGCCTTTCTTTTTCAGGTTAATTACTGTCAAATAATACCACATTCAAGTTTGCAGTTTGCATATGCCCACAACTCCCCAGCTCTCATCTACAATGTATGTTTGACAACTCTCTAGTTTCCAATTTGGTGCCTAAGCTTTTAGATGATTCTCAATTTGGTTCTTAATGTTTTAAAATTCTTATTTTACTTTTAAGGGTAAGATACATTTTTAGCCTGAGTTTAGAGATAGATTTCAATTTGATTTCTGAGTTTCAAAAAGTGACGGTTTAGTCCCCAACCTTTATAAAATGGTTCTAAAAAGCCCTTGGGTTAAACTTCCGTTAGTTTCACTGATGGAATGCTAATGTGGCTGGGTGAGTTTGACATTTATTTAATTTTATATTATTTTTAACATATGTGTCTTTTCTTTTTCTTTTTCGCTCTCTCTCTTCCCACTTTTCCTCCTCTCTCTCTCTTTCACAGCTTCCTTGCTTCTCCCTTCTCCAGTATCTTCGATTTTTTTGGGTTTTGGGCTTGGAGGGGGAAGAGAGTGAACGAAAAAAGAAAAGAAAATGAAAAAAGCAGATGTTAAAAATAATATAACATTAAATAAATATCCCCTCATAACATTCCTTTAATATTTCTAAGGGAAGTCAGGGACCTTTTAGAACCATTTTCTAAAGGTCGGGAACAAAATATCATTTTTTGAAACTTAGAAACCTATCTTCAAGGACTAAAAATGTATTTACCCTGTATTAACAATTCTCAATTAGATTATTCTGTTTACTAAATTCAAAATTAATTATTCTTAATTAAAAATTAATTTCTTAATCAAAGGCAGTAGATTAGATAATGAATTTTCATAGAAGTAAAAAAAAAAAAAGATAATTAATTTTCATAACTTTTTTTTTTTTTATGGTTTAAGATGTGTCGCCCAACATGCATGCATAGTTGGAAACTCATTTTTTTCTTTTCTTTTCTTGGCATTGGCATGTATTCAATGTTAGGGTAGGTACGGGTTTTTTTTTTCTTCTTCTTTCTCTGAAGCGTGGATAGATGAGGAGTTTGCTGGCTTTGGTATTAATTTAATGTACTTTATGCAATACTATAATGTGAAATTCTAGATTGAGAATATTAATTTTTTTAATCCTTAAAATTGTATTTCATTAAGGAAAAAAATTCGGCTAAACTTTTTTCTTAATTCAATAATTGCGAGATGGGATATTTACCTGGTAATAGATCTTTTAAGTTATGCTTGAATTGATATTTCATATAAATCAATATCTAAAATTTAATTTTACTTGTATTCTTTTCTGAAGAACTGTGTACAACAGTGGATTTTTGATTGAATAGGAAGAAAAATTGAAATAAAAATCTCACCTTTAAATGCTAAACACAATAAATAAGCTAATTTGACTTTGCATTTCGCATTTTACAGCCGATCCTGCAAGAAAATTCCACGCCCTCCCTCGAATCTTCTTTCACTTGATCGAATAATTATACCGAAACCGAGCTTAATCCATGCTATTCTATGCAGCCTCCGTGCCTCCCTCTACCAAGTCAACCCTGTATAGCAGCAGGCTTCCAGTTCTCTAAATCCCAGATTGCCCAAAATTCCACAGCGCCGATCTGGTATATTTCTTCTCCACAATCCCTTAGATTCCGGTGTTTATGAGTCTCAAAGTTCTCTGTTCTTGATTGAGCTTTCAATTAAGAATATAATCGCCATTTCTGCCCTTCTGGGTCGCTCTGAAACTTTCGGTTTGTACCGAACGGGAAGCCATGAATGGCCGCAGAGACGGGCCGTTGATGAGGAACTCCTCGCAAGGATCCATTTTCTGCAAATCGAGGGTCGGGACTGCCATGTTCATCGGCGTCTTTCTTGGATGTGTCTTTGCCTTCTTCTTCCCTGGTGGGATCTTCGCGTCGAGTTCTCTCTCAATTCGTGATTCTCGTGCCGTGAAATTTATATCCAAGGTATGTGTTCAAACTTACCCTGTTTTCTGCTTTGTGGGTTGGTTTCTTTCGTTGTCCTTCTCGATTTGAGCTTCTTTGTGGAATGTTTGTGGTGTGGTTAAATCCTTGGGAATTTGTTTGTGAGATGGTGAACTTTGATGGCGATGAATGTGATTAGAACTTTGTTGATTTCATTTGGTTTGGAGGTGCTGTGAAAGTGGATTTACGTTTACAAGTTTCAGGCTGCCTCAAAGAACTTCTTGTACTGGGTTTCGGAGTTTGATTGCTGTGCATTCCTTTTTTAAATGGCATTAATATTTTGGTTGGTTATCTTGATGAGTTTGAGAATGTTGTTACAGATCTAAACCTAGCTAAAGTGCCATTTAGTGAATCTTTTGGGATAAAACAAAAAAAATGTTTTCAAAATCTATGCCAAGTTTTAGAAACTAGTTTTTGTTTTTGAAATTTGGCTAAAAAGTCAAATGTGTTTTTAAGAAAGATGAAAAACATACTAAATAAATGGTGAGAAAATGTTCGTAATTTTTAAGACGAGAAAATTAAAAATGAAATGGTTATTAAATGGAACTTAAATGATTTGAATTGGTTAATATAGGTCTTAAGTTTCTCTGGTGTGCATAACTGTGGCTTTATATGCTAGATGCTATAAGTTTTGTTCTCCAATGACTTATCTTCTGATACCATGAGTTTACTGCAAAAGTCTAGCCATTCTTGATATGGTCTGATAGTTATTTTATGGCCTGGCTGTGCACCAGGCTGATTCGAGTTCATGTGACTCATCTGAACGAATTGACATGTTAAAATCCGAATTCATATCAGCGTCGGAGAAAAATGCTCAGCTAGAAAAACAGATCAGGGAATTAACTGAAAAGCTGAAGTTGGCTGAGCAAGGCAAAGATCATGCACAGAAGCAAGTTCTTGCTTTAGGTAAACAGTTCAAAGCCGGGCCTTTCGGTACCATAAAAGCTGTAAGAACAAATCCACCTGTTCTCCCTGATGAATCTGTGAATCCAAGATTAGCAAAGATATTAGAGAAAGTTGCTGTTAATAGAGAGCTTATAGTCGCAGTAGCGAATTCGAATGTGAAGGCGATGTTGGAATTATGGTTCACTAGCATCAAGAAAGCAGGCATACCTAATTATCTTGTTGTTGCTTTGGATGATGAAATAGTTCAATTCTGCAAATCAAATGATGTCCCAGTGTATAAGAGAGACCCTGATGAACAAGTTGATTCAATTGGAAGGACTGGAGGGAACCATGCCGTCTCCGGCACAAAATTCCGCATCTTGAGGGAGTTTCTGCAGTTAGGATATGGTGTTTTACTATCCGATGTGGATATCGTTTACTTGCAAAATCCTTTCAATCATCTTTATCGGGATTCAGATGTCGAATCCATGACTGATGGTCATGACAATGCTACTGCTTATGGATACAACGATGTCTTCGACGAACCTGCAATGGGTTGGGCTCGATTCGCGCACACGATGCGTATATGGGTTTATAACTCCGGCTTCTTCTATATTAGACCAACTATTCCAGCAATTGAGCTTTTAGATCGCGTGGCTAATCGGCTTTCTCACGAGCAGAACTCCTGGGACCAGGCTGTTTTCAATGAGGAACTGTTTTTCCCTTCGCACTCAAACTACGAGGGGCTTTACGCCTCTAGGAGAACCATGGATTTCTATCTTTTCATGAATAGCAAGGTTCTTTTCAAGACAGTAAGGAAGGATGATAATCTGAAAAAGCTGAAGCCCGTCATCATCCATGTGAATTACCATCCCGATAAGTTTCCTCGAATGAAAGCCGTGGTCGACTTCTATGTCAACGGGAAGCAGGATGCACTGAACTCCTTCCCTGATGGTTCAGAATGGTAAATTTTCTTTTCTATTTATGCTCTGCAGATCATAGGACTTTACTTGGACAAAACATTGGCTCAAAAAAGTATCAAAGATGGATGGTTTCACAACCTTAAGGTCAGTTGAGGAGCCTGTTCTTTTTCAGATCACAGTGATTTATGTTATCTTCCAAATGATTTTTTGTAATGCTTTATTTTATGAAAGAAGAAAAATAAAAGGATTACTCAGCAAAGAGGCCTTCTGGGTTGTAACTTAACTTGTATCTTTAGGAAGTTTTTCTTAGTCTGGCCACACTCTTATGCCTTGTACTTTCTCTCGCTTAATTGAGTTCTTTTGCCCATAGTTTTTTTGTTTTGTTGTCTGCAGTCGTATGGAAGGTTTGAATCTCGATGAGTTGCGGGCTCCCTCATCTAACGTATTAAATTCTTACGAGTTCTTTACCGCAAAATATTGTATAGTTGTAGTTTATACAGTTGTCTCGTAAGATCAGCCAAAGGATAATAGCTTGGATAGCAGTCTAAACTATCCTCTTGCAGGATATATTTGTGGCTATTCAACTCATTGTTTTCCATATTTATTTGGATTCCTTTATTAAAATTATCACCAAGATTGGATAGGTGGTGTCTAAACAAGTTAATTACAAAGTTCAAGTGATACGAGGATTGATTAAACAAGTTAATAATGATGCGTCACTCTTTCGTTAATAGTGTTAATGACAAGAACTAGACCTAAAAATTTAAATACAATGGCTAAATTCATAACTAGTATATTTTATTTTATTTTTTACAAACTTTCATTCATACACTACAATACTCATTAATCTATACACTTTTACAATTATAAACACTTTGTTCCATAAATATTTCATGCCTCACGCTCATTTATAGTCCAATTGTAAATTATCTTCCCATAAATATTTTAAAAAATAAATAGTCAAGTTATTATTTTAGTTTCTCAGATTTGAACTTTGATGTTAGTTGGGTCTCTATAGATTTAAGAAGTTTAATTATTACTCCAACGTTTTTGGTTAAATATTAAAAAATATCTATTTCATTTTCTACAAATTTTGACAATAAACTGTGTCGTTGTAATATTACCTCATGCATATCTATTTATTCTAAACATCAATATAAGTCTAAATTAAGAGCAATCCAGTGATATTTTCTAGAAAACAATTTAGCAAGTTATGTTAACATTTATTATTGATTAACAACTTTTTTTTTAGTGGACCCAATAAAATGAAAAAAATGTTTATCACCTCGTTAAATCAACCAATATTTATCTAATAAAAACTACATAAAAATTAAAATCATAGTTTGAAATTCACAACATTTTAATAAAAGGATGGAGAAAATTTTGAAGGATCTCCAACAATTATATTTTTAAAAAATTATATTAAAATATTAGAGATTTTTATGTTGTCCAGCCAATTTCTAGTTTCACTCCCGTTTATATGAGATTTACTAAAATTAAATTTTCAATTTTGTTAGTACAATAAATTGGAGTACAAAGGTTTCAACCTTAACCAATATCAATCATTATTGAGATATACTTATTAATGAGATAAACTTATTAAGTAATGAAAAAGATTAAAATTTTAAATTTTTTAACTAAAAATATAATCTTTTAACCGGTTAAATTATGCTGGATTGAAAAAAATACGTGAAATAACAGAGCAAGGAATTGAAAAAGAAATTCATGAAATTAACTTTAAAAAGTAAGGCAGTCAAACTGTCAAATGGTGGAGAGACAGAGTTTCCTTTCAAAG